TTCAAGTAGCTATTAATCTTCTGAGGTTTGGAATAAGCCCTTGTAAAAACACCTCTCCCTTTCTTAGTGTTCATTTTTCAAGTGTTATAACGTTTCTATTAAAATATCTGTAACAACAACAAGAAAAAAAGAACGTGGCTGCGATACAAAAACGGAGAAAACCTGAACATTTGATTTAATGGCTTCATTCTTCAGCAGCCAACTGTGATTTCCCTCATGGGGCAAAGGGATAAAGATTACCCCAGAAATTTTAAGTGCACCAGGTAGATTATTTGATGTGTTACAAGTTAATTTAGCGAATAACAAATGAAAGTATTTTCCAATGCCGACCATAAAAATTTTCCCGTTACTAATTACTTTTATGTCTTTTTGAAAACAAACCGTTCAAGTTACACACACCAAACTCCTGGGCACAGGACCGTGGCCTAGACCAGATGTCTGAGGTCAAAAACTGCAGCCAAGAGCAGGGCTTGTTTTGTTGGGTGTTCTTTTCCTGCTAGTTTCCAACACAGAATTTGTCCTTCCACTGCTACGCGTGCAGTCGGACCTGCAGCCCGTAGTTCAGAATAAGTCTTGCATCTGCCACTGCTGGAGTTTTTCATCATTATTCACCTCCCATTATGTCATACTCTCTTCTATTCTAATTTCTTACAGCTGAAACTGAAATATCAAACCCGTGGCATAGCCACCAAGATCTATTTGTACTTGGGTGTCTTCAGGAAAAGATACCCTGAAGAAAGACTATGGTACGGAGAGCAGGGAGCCATGCCAAAATGGTCATAAATGGAAAAATCACAGAGTGGTTTTTAATGCTTAAAGAAGTTTTGAGCCCAGAGAGACGATAAGATCAGTATCTCCTTATATTTGATACATGTGCTTCAATTATTCTTAATTCTGGGTTCACACAGCACCTGACTTTGAAGAAAAGGGACGTTTCTCCACATATCCAGGACCAGTGAGGTTCAACCATATGGAGCAAAATACAGAAAACCCGAAACGAAGCACATAAAAGATTTTTTGAGCTGAATACAGGGGATACCAGATGAAAAGCTTAAAGGAAATGACATACAGGAAGTTAAAGGCAGAAGATGCAGTTGTATTTTTTAACTATGGAGTCCTCCTCTCTGAGGGGAGAGAGAAATGGGAATTCCTGGCAACCAGGCTTGCTTTTATGGACGCTCCAGCAGACAGCAGCAGTTTCAGTAGGATCTGGCCATTCCAAATTTTTAAATTTCTGGTAACACCAAACATGCCTAAATCAGGGCTTTCTCGTGCTTAGTGATGAAAACCATGAAGCATCTTTGACCTAAGTAATTTCAAACGTTTCAGAAGCAAGCACAAAAATAGGTTATGAAGCGAAATGACATTATGTGAAGCTGCAAAGCTTTTTTCAACCCTCTCAACATATGACTCTTTTTTTAAAAAAAAAAAAACCAAACCATGAAACAAAAAAAGCAACTCTGTGATCCAGTAAGATATTCGTAACTCGGGCACTCAATAAAAAGTACAAGAGGTTAATCTCTCTTTGCACAGCACGGATGTAAAACGTTGGGTGCCACAGCTCTGTGACCCGATAAAAAACAAAAGCGTTACTTGTGTCAGTTATGCCATAAAATAGGTTGTGGTCCTATCTATCAGATGACAGAGTGGTAACACCACGGTTGTAATTAGCATTGACTGACAACTCTGGCCCAAGCTCAAGAGATGTAAAAATAAATAAATAAATAAATGAACATACAAACTCCTTGCCACCCGCATTCAGCTTTCTACCAGGAGTATTAGTAGGACGCTGCGGGGAAATCTAAACTATACCTCATTTAGGAGCGAGAGCCTTGTCTGCAAAGACAATATTGTTTCATTTTCAACGTACTTGGTGCTCGTGACTGAAAACCAACCAGCTGAGCGTGACTTTTTATACAAAAATATGCAGATTCAAATATTCAAATATAACATACTAATCCGTTTGTTGGTAAATTTGATCAGACATATGAATATACGTTTGCCACATGATTAAATCAAATATAAATAAGAAAATTAAAATAGTTTCTTCAACCTGCTTTGCATTCAGCAAACTTCCATGCGTTAATAACTCATTTACGAATTCAAAGAGTGACAGATCTCACACGATCTGACAGCTGTAACGAGAGCACCCCACACAAGGCAGTGAGCTGCACAGCGCAGCGAACGAGAGACCAAGGAGCACGGAAGCTAGGAGTAAGGGGAGCAGCCGGAGCCAGGCTGGGTCCCTGCACGGGCAGCAGCCCCTAGGAGCACGCTGCCCCGGCCACACGCCTCGGACGCGGGTACCGGCAAGGAGCACCTCGGCAGCTCCCTACTCCAGTAACCCCCTCCATCTCTCCACCCAAACACCTGACAGAGCAGGAACGGGACGTGTAAAGAGCAACCCAAAACCTCTACTGCTTTGCAGCCGTACAGCAAACATAGAAACTAACGCTACCACATGAAATTTTAAAATCATCGCCTGTAGGCTCCAAGGGAATAGAAGTGAAGTGAACTGAGCTCAGTTTGTGTAGGAGCTGCCTGCCTGATACACGCGCCTTCTGTCAAAGAGTTTTACTTTCAAAAGTAAATAGAGTTGTTTGCATTTTGTCAGGTGTTTGTCCTTCTATTTCTCACTGCAGGTTCAAGTATTTCTTCCTTTTTCTGATATATTCCAAACAACTTCTTTCCCTGCTGCTCTCTGATTTTTTTTTGGTTTACTTCTCCCCCCTCCTCCTCCTGATTCTTCCAAAATTTCTCATTCTTCAATGTTTCCTCATTTTTATGTTTTGCTTGTTCCTCATCCTTTAATTTTTGCTGAGCAAAAAGAGCAGCACCAGGGTGTACTGCACCGAGGTGCTCCCATCACCTCCCAGGAATAAACATCTGTGTCTCACACAGAGAAATCCCTGTTTTCTCATGAGTACCTGCTACACACCTCGTCTATCCACTACACTCTTTGCTACAGAAAGATTTAGAAAAAAGCCATTTGCCTATAAATTCTACTCGTACCCTAATTATTAAATGTAATATTAATATTTAATATATTAATTGCATAAATATTTAAATGTTTGTTTCGTGGTTATAAAATTACTAATACTATTCCCTTTCTTCCTGCTTCCTCTGCCTCCTGTTCCAATCAGCTCTAACCAAATTTGAAGTGGGAAACACTGCTCTGCTGCGTATGGGGGAATATTTATACGTTCTATTTCCATAATAATTTCATTATTTTTCAGGCAGAAGTAGCTTTTCCAGACTTTCCACATCAAACCTTAATGCCTATTCACCACAAGATAAGAAAATGTTATTACAGCATAACTAGCTCAAGCATCAACATATACTTATCCCAACAGATACAATCTGAGCATTAACGAAACAGGTTATTACCCTATTTATTAAAAATTTATGACGTGTCCACTCCTGTACCAAACACTCGAGTTCTTGACACCTCACACGTATTTAACATTTGCTTGCTTTTCTACCACTTTATCCACTACTTGGTTAATTTCTTGAAGTCTAAGGAGGAAATCATGTGCTGAAATTATTCACACAACTAGCAGTTACGAATCTGATCTTACAGTGAGGACTACTAGGTTGATGTAAAGTCCCAAATACATAAAAATTGAGCTGGATGAAATAATTATGCTAACAGATTGCATGAAGTTTGAGGATCTGCAATACTTTTCGCAAGGACAAGAAACATACTTTTTTCCTCTAAATTATGTTCTTTTCATTTGGCAAGAACATATGCCCACTGTCTCCCCCCAAATTTTTCTTATCTATTGCTACAAAACTGAAACCAAAGCAATTTTATTTGTCAACCACAGGCAATACTGCTTCCCCAAACCCCCTGGAGTCAAGCAGTAACGCTGAAAATACCACAGAAGCAGGCAGCACAGAGCGCACACACATAAACCCTTTTTAAATGCAATGCTACCAAAAAATAACAAGTGTTTTAATTTTATTTCATCATATATAGCATCATTGTAGCATCACTGTATGAGAGGCAATGTACTGAGTGGTCACTGCACTGAGTTAGAAGCTTAACTACTGTAAAAACCCCAGTGTTGTGGGACCCCGGGCAAGTCATTTCTCCATTCCCACTACCACATTTTGCTCATCTTTCCTACTTCAGTCTGAAGAATTCGCAGTCTTTAACTCTTTTCATAAGGCCTTGTAATCTCAATTAAATCTCTAGACATCACTGAAAGAGGAGGAATTCTAGTACTTAGTATTAATCACACCTACAGAATCAGCTGGAGCCTGACAACAGCAGGAACTACGCACACGCAGCCAAAAAAGGGTTTGTTTTGATGCAACACGGCCAGTTTACATTTCCAATTTGGAGACCACAATCTCATAATATTTTCTAAGTAAAAGACAAACACTGCTAAAACTGAAACATTTTAGGACAAAATACCTAAATAAGGAAGAGGAAAAAGATAAGGGCACGTGCTGAGCTAAAGCCCTGGAACTATGCTTCAACTGAAGATTGTCTTCACATTCCCTTTACCCACATCCCAGCTCCAAGCTTTTTGAAGGAGAGCTAAGCTTCCACTAGTTGCTATTTGCTCTCCACTGCAAATTGCCGTTGCAATGAAGCGCTACCTAAAGCTCACCTGTAAGTACGCAGCTGTACACGGCCTCCAGACACGCAGCCCTCTAACCACGCGGGAGTCCCAGCTTCCCAGGGCTGTCCAGCGATACCCTGGCTTTGCCACCCGAAGCTTTGTGTTTAGTTTCTCTCCTCCCAAACACACAGAGGTGTGAAGGCATTAAATTGTTGCTCATACACTCAAAGACCAATTAATTAAAGGAGATAAGGCTATTTAAGTGAAGCTTAATTTTCTGCTTTTGCAGCTAGCACGCATTAGCACCCCTACACCAGGAAAGCCACAGAAGACTTCAGGCACGTGGCAGATGAACACCCCTTACCCTCCTCTTCAGAAAATGGTTTTACCATTCCAAAAAAAACCCCAAACCATAATGCAGCGACTTACCTGGGTCGGAACCAGTACTGGAGGATACGCCAGCTTGTGATGTCTGTACATCCAGAAGGAGAAGAGCACAATCACTGCGATTCCCATGATAGGCACCAACGAATAAAGCAGGGTATTGAACAGAGGTGGCTTAGGTGTAACAGGGTTGGAAGTTGCTGAGGAAAAACAAACCACACACACAGCTTTTAAGAAAAAAACAAAATCATCCCGTGCTGCAAATGTCTAGCACCCTGATCTTCTAAAAACCCCTGCCACCAGCACAACAGGTTAACAATACCCGATTCAACAGCGTACTCCAATATAAACGGACAGGTATTTAAAAGGCAGCATTTTGGCAAGCACAGCAATAACTTAAATCCCCAAATTTACACATCAGCCCATCTAACTTTTTTGTGCTTCTAAGCTCCACCTACCCACAGCATATACGAGGTGGCTGTATTTTAAAGAGACTGCCCGAATGCGATCCCCTAATGAACGAAAAAGAACCAGTACAGAGGCTTAGCCTCCGGAATGGATGCCGTAAAATGTCATTAATAAGCAGAAGAGGCCAGAAATAATCTGCCAACGTTTCTATGCACTGTTGATTCGCTGAAAGTAAAAGTTCTCCAGCTGAAGACACTTCCTTACGCCCTCAAGAAAGGCTCCAGAGAAGCCCTGCTTCTGAGGCAGCTGGTAGGGGGGCAGTCACAGAGCCCTGGGGCAAAAGAGGTTTCATGAGAGCGAAGAAGAATGTCAGTTATTGCCTTAGCCGTATCACTGACGAAAATGACATGAATATCTCTTGGGTCAACAAAGGCTATTTTAATCTCATAGAAGATGTTATTTAATTTCATAAACAACTTCCTCTGGCTATTTGGTACACAAGACATTTGCTGTTTTCAGTTCAGTTATTAACATTATTCAGTTTTCCAACATAGATTAGATTCTTGACTGGAAGAAGATATGCAAGAATAATCAAATAACCTTTTAGCTATTGTTTTTTAAAACAATTATTTGTTAAGCCTGATTTTCTTTGTAACCTGGGAGGAAATTCTTTCCCCCTTTTTAAAGGTTACTGTGTCAATTTACAGAGAAACTCCAAGGTCCCATTAGCTTAAAGAACCAGCGAGAGCACTGTTTCCAGAAGAGGAGCATTCACAGCCTGGTACACATGCATGTAGGGATGATATGGCTTTTGGCCCCACCATTTACAGACTCTTACAGAAGCTTAACTATACAATTAAGGTAAGATCTGACAGTAACTTCTGTATCTTAAAACAGTCAATTATTTCACATTACCCTTCCTTCTCACCCTTACGAAAGCGCTGAAGTACCTTTTATCAATTTAAATTACTTCTAGTACAGAGACCTTTCAAAATTGAAGAAATGAACTGGCAATTTTCTAGGCTCTGTATGCGAAGGCACACAGCACTGTATCTTCTAGGAATCAGAAACCTTCTGGCAGGAAAAACTGACCACAACATTCTGAAAAGTCTTCTCTCCTAAACATGCACAACGTGAAACATTTCTGAACTCCGCTACGCGGTTCCTTCGTGCGTTTGACGAACTTACGTTGCGTGACCTCCATTTCTGGGAAATAGAAAAAGCGTTCATTGCACATGTTGCCTTCACAACAACAGAAAAACACTTCAGGGCTGTCCTTCTTCTCTATGCAATCGTTCCTATAGAAGATAATAATAAAAGTCTTGATTAACCTTAAGTGGGGGGGGGGGGGTGTGTGTTTAAGAGAAAACATGCTGATATTTAAAATTTGAAGTGAACTTCATTCAATTGTCTGGGATAGCATACTACTGAAATAAAAGTTAAATCTGAAGAAACAAATTAAAATTTTCTTATTTTATATTGCTATGAAATACCATTAAAACGGAAACAGCACTCCTTGCTATTTTTAAGACAAAGTGAACGAAAACCACCAGCGGGATAGTGAAGAACAGTTCACAATTAAGATGTGAACAGGACAAACAAGTGATCAAATGGCTGGTGTTTAACCATAAACTCCCAGTACAGGGTTGCATGGGTTGGAGATAAGCGAGAAGGAGATTTTTTAAATTTGATTTTATTTTTAGAGAAAAGATAAAGTTTTGACAAATAAATTTCCCCTGCCTACATGACGCTCAGGGACGCACCTTATTTCACTCAACGAAGTAACGGCAAGAAAGGACTTCTCTTAACAAATAAGTTGAAACTACTCAAGTCAGGAGAGAAAAACAGGCATCATGCAGGGGACAACGTGACAGCAGGAAGAGAAGAATTCGAAAAACCCGTGGCTTTAAATCCAGCTGAAGATTGTGAAAAAAGTTTTAGGTCCAGCTTCAAAAGTTAGGGTTATTTTATAGAACCAGCTATTTCAAAAAGACTGTACTGTAACTTCCACAAAGCATTTATTCTTTGGTGTGCTTAATCTACTGTTGTTGGGAGTTCATCCTACTGTAACTCCCTGTTTAGTAAAGCACTCTTCACCGCCAGAGACAGGGTTTTGTGTAATGGATATTTCGGACAAACACGGCAGCACACATTCTCACGACACGTTACAGTTAACGAGGTCTTAGAGCCAGACAAATTGTTACTCAGTTTTCAACTACCAAACTTACCGTCCTTCCTGCATTTTATTTCTTCTTCTAATTTCCTTTCTTTGCTCAAGGGAGAATTTAATATCAGTATTTTTCTTCAACTGTTCAAAAGGTACATGTGGGACTAGTGGGACAACAGTGCTACAGAACCTAACTCTATTTCCAAACTGAAAAATTCTATTTCCATCCTAAAAGTTTAACATTTAGCAGAAATAAACTCAGTTCAGAAATTGTAAGTACCCCGACTTCTTCTGCAAAGCTACAACTAAGAACAGATAAAAAAAAAAAAACAAACAACAAAAAAGTACTTTCCCATCCTTCAGCGACTTACAGTTACCAGATACTAGTAGCAACAAATAACGTGTCTTTAAAATTGTCCTTTGCCTTCCAGCATAGCTGTGTTGCACTCCTGCTGTGCGAGCAAGCTTGCAGGTGCTTTGCTACTTCTCCGAGAAACAGATAAATCAGAACTACTGTTCCACTTGGGTTTAAACTGCCATTAAAGGAGAAAACATCCAAGTGTTTGGGGAAAGTTTATTTGGCAGAAATTACTATAATGATTTCTTCTACTCGGTCAACATTGAAGAAACACAAAAGAAAAAATATTGCTAAAAATATTTCTAAATGCATTTTAATGAAGATCTATTACGCATTTATTTTCTCCCTTTCCAAACAATAACTGTTTCAGTCAAAGAAAACTTAGTACAGCGCTTCAAAGAACTATAATATCGTTTCTTAAGAGAGCCACGACCTTTATTCAGCCAATATCTAACAAACCCCAAGTCCCGCTGTTACTGCTCACGGGTACTTGCTAGACCATCTGTTATAAAAAAAAATGACTGGAATCTTAGAATATTCGATGTCTCTTGGAGCTGCCACTGAGGTGAGCTTTTTCCTAAGTCAGCAAAATGCCTCCGCGTTTAAGTAAAGAGGAGAAGCAAAGTGCTGACCTTTCTTCCCAAAAATTTTGGAGAAGTGAACTATAGAATTTTGAATTCTGGTTTCAATAACCGTATTTCATTGTTCGGCAATAACAAGTCCTTTGAAAAAATCTATTATTAATGGCCCCAAAAAGAATAAATTAAACACCTGGTTTTAATATATAGTATAAGAGAAGGTAAACCATGCTATTCTGCAAACAACACAAAGTACTTGGAAGAAGTCAGGTCCATAAATAGAGGTATGGAAGCAAAAAGAAAAAAGCATGTGTGCATCTAAAACCACGGTAATTATTCACAGACTCCCATAACATCATTTGTCTCAAGTACTGTTTGCAAAGGGAAGAACGTGTAAGTTATGGACAGGCAAACCAGTTTACAATTACAATTAAATTCAAAATTTATAGGAAAACTCAACTTACCTGTCATAACAATTGATGTCATCTAGCCAGCAACCTTGCTTCACAATTTCAATTGATCCAGAAATGTTCTTCCATGTAGCAAAACAGTGTCGTCTTTTATCTTTATCACCGTAACAAGGTTCAATACCACTGCGATTTGTTTTATCTTTTTCCCAATTAGCGTTGTAGTAGATACACTCCTGTGTTTCTGATCTGCCAAGTATGGCACCTTTTAGGAATGAAAAGTAAATCACAATTAAGCAGTGTTCTGAAGGATGAGACATATGAGCAGTCAAACCCAGGATGTACTGAAGTATCACGCAGCACTTGCATCAGTATGCCCTCTCCCCTCTTTTTTTTAATAAAAGCAAGAAAACATTTAAAGTTCACAAGCGTTCCAGTAAGTGTTGAAACATAAAACAAAGATCTTCTGTTAAGTCAAACAGTGACTTGGATAACTTACCAAGATTTGAAGAGATAAAGAACAAGTTACAGCAATAGCTCTCCCTGAATAGCAACAGCAGAGAAAATGTAAAATGCTGAACAGTAAAGATTTAGCTATAATACCAGCCAAATGAGAAGTTTTAGCTAGTACAATTTACCAAAAGGTGTTTTTGTCTTTTCTTATATGTGCCAAAAGAGCAGTCTTAGAGTGTCTTAGAAACCCAAGCCCAACTAATAAATCCCGTTTTAAACCATCAACATCTTTTCCCCTAGCTTTCAGCTGTGATGTAGCTTCCCAACACAAAGCCCTGAAGTATAAGACACACTATGCTAAAATAGTACCTTTTATGTCATTCCGATTCGCCAAGTGAGCAACTGGAATTGAGACCGATAGGTGTGAGGCAGCGGTCCCTAATCTCCAAGGACAGCGCTGGGTTTTTGCCGCGTAGTCCCACCCAGTCAACCAGTCACAACATAAACGCCATCGGATCTCCTGCGTAACTCAAGGCCCAAGTGCTCCTGCTCTCAGAAGGCCCAGGGCCGCGTCTCCCCTTCCCACAGTGCACTCCCAGCATACGCGGCGGGATCAACCACGACGGGGTGACCCACACACTCCAGTAAGAGCCACGTGGGGTTTGGAGGCCCAAGTCCCTATGAAACATGCTGGTGAACCAGCACAGACCAGCAGACCAGCTCACCTACCCTGGTACCAGGGGATTATCACCCCAATATTCTTAAAACTAAAAGTTTCTCAACTTTTGAATTTAATTTTGTCTTTTAAATTACGTATATAATTGATTCATTGATACCTACTGACAACCTATAGCTAACCCCAGCAAATATGAACAGACTGAGGCACCTCGAAGCGGAGCTAACTTCAGAGTTTTCATGTGATACAAAGCACCAATCTGGTTTCTGCAAAGGTAACGGGTTGTCAGGATGCAAACCTGTTCACAAAATACTGTAAGGGAATATTAACTGGCTTTTATTTCTGTTTTTCTCTTGTTAAATACTGCCAGGAGTGTGTCGTTAACCTTCATGCAAGCTTCACCGCCTAATATGTATTAAAAACAAGGAAAAACAGAGAGGGAGATTGAAGGGCTAGAGAGCCAGGAGTCACTTCAAAATTAAGGAAGGGTCAGGGGGATGACAAAACACGTTTACTTTGCCTGTGCACTCATCTGGTATTTTCCAGAGGGACAGGTTCACTAGACATCATGCTGAAGATCAGATTTAAACAGAAAAGGTCCTCCACAGCAGCCAGTTTCATACATATTTATTTGCATCACTCATTACCTCCTTTGTATCACTCATTACCTCCTTTCTTCACATATATTTCAATATACCAGCTATTGCCTTGTAGCCATACCCACACTTCTCGTTCTCCTGCAGGAGGGTGTAACAGGGAGAGCAGCTGTAACCCTGACTTCTTCTGTGGGATGAAATCTTGGTCACCCAGGCGCTCTTCCCAACAGTGGTAGAAGATGGGGGTTGGGGTGACCGGTACACTGGTAGAGGCTTCCATCACGTAACATCTCCTCAAACACCCACAACCGACAGTCAGGTAATCCTTCCTCAGTAAACAGACTCGACTGTACAGGGACCAAGAACATTGCACCTCTCAGGGCGATGGGAACGGTTTCAAACTGAAAACGGCCACAGCCCTCTTGAAGTGCCGCACAGGACAGAGTCAAGCGCAGCGCTGACCACACCGGGCATCCCACCTGACACCTTCGGGAACTTTTGACTTTGACGCATTCCCAAAATAGGCAGAGGAAGCTGCTTACGCTTTTTTGGGAAAGAGCCTGGATGTTCAATGGGAGAAACGCGCTAGCCAGCTGGTAACGCTGCGAGATGCAGCATGTTAACCATTATATTCTTTGTGCTGCGATGGCCTGACCTTTACAACTCCCAGCTACGGCAAGAAACAGATGAGGCAACAGATTGAACAATTTGGTTCTGTCAGTGCAATAAAGCAGAAGTCCTGGATTTCTCTCATATGTGCCATTCCTTTTCCGCTGCTGCCAAGCCTAGCTTTGAAGGACCATAGACAAGCTGAATTTGCTGAAATTTGGCAACTACAGTAAAATTAACTTTGCACAAATATTCTCCTTAGACAAGTCTTCTCTAAAGTCGGGTTTTCTTCTCCATTAATGCTCTGAAACAGTTCAATGTATCCAAACTGTTGGTTTAGTGGCTCTGCCTGGAGGATCTATCCATAACACCTTCTCTAGGGGCTGAGCAGACATCTGCAATAGGTCTGGCCAGACACAACCGAGGTACGGGCACACCAGGACAATCTCTGATTAATCTTCTGAAGCAGAGAAGGGGGAAGATGGTGGAGGCAAGGGAAGAAGAAAAGGTGAACCACACAAAGAAGGCAGCCCTGAGCCCACTGCACAAAGGAAGCATCTGCTTCTAACCAGCTCTGCCACCCCCTCCACGGGAATCAAACTCAGAGGAGAAGGGCAGCTGGCATTTTCAACACGAGAAAATTTATTTGGGTCCCAGTTTAGGCATAGCATGTCTATAATGAAGCTTCTATAACAACTATTTTGAGCGCTGACAAATTGTTTTCATATAAAATTGTCAGGTCCTCGGGAAACGTGTTGCCGAATCTCAAAAGGCAAAACGCTGCTGCTGAAAGAAGCCACGAGCAAAGCACCAGGAGTACCCTAAGGACTGCACGTCTGAAAGCATCTGAGAGGAAAACGCATTAAAACAGCGAAGAAGTCTATAATAGAGTTTAGTTTTGGCATGTTAAGACAGATCACATTTAATATATGCTGCTATCATATTGCAGTTAGCGTGCTGCTGTATCACTGTACATTTGTGTTCATCCCCAACAGCTGCAGTAAGAAAAGAAAACCAACATTTGCTAGTGAACTTCTGAACTGCTCTTAATACAGGATGCACTGTAATTGTTAGCAGTACAGAAAGCAATTTTATTAGAGTGCACATGTGCAGTCTGGAAAACCTCACCTTCGCAGGAATTTGAAGGGCTGGCTCCCATTTTTATTTATTTATTTTTTTACTATATGAATGTCTGAAAAAATATCTAGCCAGGCTTTTTTTTTTTTTTTTTGAATTCAAACAGGGGGGCAAACAATGAAATCTATGCATGGCTAATAAGGATTATACTACCATAGCCCAAATTTAGAAAGGGATTACTGGAAAATGACATGAATTCTCTATGACAGATACCACTACATTACACCCAAAGGGGGAGGGGGGGGAGGAAAAAAAAAAAGATAACTTCTGGGAGTTTATCATCTACCTTCAGTTATCTGAGCAACACAACTGTGGATCTAAAATAGCAGCATGGAAAACAACAAACCACCCAAGTTTTCTAAAAGCCAGTCTATGTACACAGATTGCTCAGCTGGGCACTCCCAACGTGCGCCCAACTCACCCTTAACTACTCAGGAAGTAAAAATAAAATTTTGAACTTATTTCTGCGTATCTTTCAGACTTTTCCACCTAACATGTTTCTGAGGTGCAAACTGCAACACTGAAGCCTGGAAAGAGTATTCACCTCTGTATTTCACAGCTGCACAACCGACCCAGACATGTCCATTACACCCCACTTCATTCTGTTATAAGTACTAATGACACTATGCGTAAGGATTTACATGAAGGAATACTCATGTGATGGAAAAGGACTTTGTTTTTTCCCTGTTCCCTAGAATACTCAGTACATGAAAGAATCAAAGGGTGAAGTTCACTCTGGCAGCTACCTACACCTATAGTAGAAAGGTTACTGAAATTGTCTTGTGTTTGAGATTAATTTGAACTCATTCTGAGTCCCAAGATCCACAAACGCAGAAGGAATGGAGTAGTTCATTAGAATAAATGAGTTGAGCACAATGGCCTATATCACCACAGGGACTGGACACTGGGAGTTACTTAACAGACAGAACTGCCCGTTCACTAGAGGATCTGAATTGTAACGCTGTTCTAGAGGAACAAAAAAGGACAGTAAACACAGCATAACTAGAAACAGCATCTTGAAACCAAGTTCAGTTACTGTAGAGATAGCTTTTTCAAGTATTTGTCCATCTGTTATTTTATTTGTTTCCTCAGTGATCTCATACACACTTTCTAGAGACACATATACACGTAAGAACAGACAACAAGCGTACACTGAAAAGGCCCAGCTTTGATGTCTCCGCAAGCAGGAAGCGGGTTTTTATCATTCTGTATTTTTTCTGATAACACTCAGGGGAATATTTCTCAAAGGGAAAATAAAGAGGTTATTTTCAACCTAATAAAGCAAACTGAGTTACAATAGAAAGGACCTATTCTGTCCTCCTTACACATACCAGTAAGTCCCGAAACATATTTTGTTGCTCTTTAGACAAGTATTAGTTGTTGCTCTTTAGACAAGTATTAGTTCTATTATCGTTGTTCTCAATGCTCACAGGTAAAACAAGGACTGTATTTCACATCAACTGAGCCAAAGTACATTCATTAAAACTAAACACAACAGCAATTAACTTAAGCAATGTGAGAATGAGGAAAAAAGATAAACAAGACAGTGAAGTAACAAATCACCTGAACTGCTGTCACACTGCCTTATACAGAAGATGCATATCTTTTCAGACTGGAGTTTCTCATTATAATCCTGCTTTTCGGCATGTTCCACCAAGCCTGCACTGCAGTTAATCAAGAAGTCATTGGGGAAGAACGGAGAAATGCCACCAAAGTGCTGTACCTCGGTGCAGAAGTCTGTGCGACTTGATTATCTAAAGAGGCTAAAAGGTTAATCTTAAAAATTTAAAGATC